ATAGCCAATGGCGTAGTCCAATGGGCGTCGTCATAGACTTAAAATTCTGTCGTACCTACACGTCCGTCTGTATTTATGACGGACACCAGCCAATCATATTCCAGTGTGGGGGGGAACTCAATTGTATGCATATTCCATTATACCAGTTTGATTATTCTATTCAGTAACCTTCCCTGGGTTTCAACAATTTTAATAAGATTCGATAGCGGAACTCTCAAGAATTTTCCTTCTAAGTAATTTTCTCTTTTAATAAGTGTAGCATTCTTTAGATCAAAATTGTGGTTGAATTTATTTCTGTGTATTATTATTACATTTTATAAATTGTTGTGTACAATATCCCTTTTGTGTTCATAGATACTTTTTTTTTAATTTCTGCAAGTTTTCCCAATGTATTGTGAGGGACAGTTCTGGCAATTTATTTTATATATACCGGCTTCAGAATTATTATTGTTTTGAGTATTTTTGGTTCTGTTCATATCCATAATAGTTTTGGATATGGTTGTAATTATTTTGATCTTGTTTAGATTGAATAAATTATTTTAGATAGTGGATGTTATGGAGTTAGCAGGTAGTATTATGCGTGTTTTATTCTAGTTTACTATGTGGCTGTTTTTATATAGTTTATTGTTGTTAATAATGTTATCTTTTTTTGCTGTCGTATATTCTGCGAACCTTTCTCTTAGCGCTCAGGATGGAATAATAAAGATATTGGAGGTTTTTGAAAGTGTTTTCTATGTATATTTTTTGGGTAAGTATTGGGGGCCACTTATTCTTAGTGCTCTTAAATAGAATCCTATAATTATTCCTGATATGAACTTGTTACAGTGGTGGGAATTTTTGTTGGTAGCTTTTCTGTAAACCACAAACTGAAGTTCTTTATTATTTCTGTGAAGCATGGGTAAAGTGTTGTTAGACTTAGATTCAAAGGTAAAGTTTATTGTAGGGCCCGACTTTATGAATTTTTTGACAAGATCGGATAAAATTATTTCTTGTGGAAATATTAGTAGAGAATCATCTATATATCCGAAAGAAGAATAATTTTGGGGTAAAATATTTTTGAAAGGATCTCTTTCCAGAAATTCCAAAAATAGACAAACCAAAACATCACTAAAAGGAGGCCATATCGATAAACCAAATTTCTATCAATAAAAATTGTTATCTAAGGTGAAAAAAATTAATTGGTGATTAAATGGCACATTTCTGTTTCTATGAGTAGGATATATAATGGGAAATGAGGTAAACCGTATCAGCTTACAACGATAAATCCAAAAACTGTAAATTCTGTCTGGAAGAGAAGATAGCTATATTTACCTTCTCAGAGCAAATTACAAAATAAACGATCGGAACTCATCTCAAAATACAGACACGAACAGAAATTTTTACTACTTTACTTAAAAATCGAAAATTAAAACAAGCATAAAATAAAAATAATTATAATAAATTAATTAAAAATAATTATAATAAATTAATCCAAATCAATAAATAAGTAAATAAATTAAGTAAATACACGCAAAGTAAATATATAATTGCTCGCAAAAACACAAGTAAACGTAATAACAATCAACAGAAAATAACAACGCAATCAATAATAAACTTAACAACACTATAAAATAGCCGCAAAACTGCATTCGGATCCACAATTATTAGTCGCCATAATGATAGCCGCTAGAAACATAACGATTACCATCAGTTATTACCCAATAACCGTTAGCATAATACAATAGCCAGTCAATTATGTGCCATGCGTGATACACCCTTAGGCGATCATGTATCTTTCGAGACGAGGCAGATTTTCCCGCAGTATGTTGACATTTCTTTCGGCGGTAGACCAAGGCTATAGAACTCGGTCTCCCCTGCTATTTACCCATAGCTTGGAGAGGATTCATATCTTTCCCAAGGTCATTAGCACAAAACTGTAATTAATTTGCTCGCAATGGTTATTAAAACCCGGAGTCAAATAACTGGTCTGAAATTTAAGTTAAATTTAAAATATGTCAATCAGTTATGTGCCATGCGGGATAGACGCTTAGGCGATCATGTATCTTTCGATACATGACTGATGAGGAAGATTTTTCCCCCGCAGTATGTTGACATTTCTTTCTGCGCTAGACCAGTTGCCATTCGATAGATAATGGTATATGTTTAATTAACATATACATTTATCTATCGAAAGCAGAATAAGTACAAATTCAGCAAGTGAGAACATTTTCTATGAACATATTAATTTCTATAATAAAACTCTAAAGAATAATGGCTACAAATGCCCAAAACGCAATTATATAAAAAGTGAAAGAAAAATCAGAAGTAGAAAAATCATTTGGTACACACTCCCATACAACCAAATGGTAAAAATAAATTAGGACAAAAATTCCTTGCATTAATAGTTAAACATTTTCCTAGAGACAATAAACTCAGTACAATTTTTAACAAAAATACCCTAAAATTAAGTAACAGTTGTACTGAAAACTTAGAAATGATTATTAAGAAATATAATGCTAATATCTTGAATACCCCCCCCCAAAAAAAAAATTAGAGAGTATAATAAACAGAAATGATTAGAAGGAAAAATTATGTAACTGTAGAAATCCTCAAAATTGTCCTCTTAATAATAAATGTCGCACTGAATCATTAGTGTAACAATGTAATATCTCATCTATTGAAAATCCAGACAAAGTTAAAGTCTACATTGGATGCATAGGACATGAATTCAAAAGGTGTTGGAACCAACATCAAAGTTCTTTTAAAATAAGTAAATACCGAAATCAGACGTCCCTATCTAAATATTTCTGGCACTTAAAAGGAAACCAATAAAACCCCTACTGTAAAATAAAAATTAATAAGAAAAGTTTTTTAGATCATTAAATGACCCACGTTCTTTGTGCATACATGAGAAATTATACATTATTAAGTTTATAAAAAATAAAAATTTAATTAATCAAAGAAATGAAATAGCTATTTTTGCACTGTGAAAGATTTTCCTTAAATAATGATTAAATGTGAAAAAAAAATAAAAAATAAAAAAAGAAGAAAAATGAAGAAAAATGAAACATATATATTTATAATTGATTTTTGAATAATAATTTTTAAATTAGTAATTCTAATATATTTATTTGTTTAAGAAAAACATATGGTCTATTAGTAATTAAAATTAGGAATAATAATTTAAAATTCTAGGAATAGGTTTTAAATATTAAAAATAAGACGTATTCATATTCAAACGACCCTTTTGAAAAAATCTTTGTGCATAAAATTATAAATTAAACTGCAAAAATGCCCCCAAAATTTTTGTCATTGAAAAAAAAAAAAAAGAAAAAAAAGAAAAGCAGACGACATGCGACAAACGGATGTCATCACCCCTACCCTACGTTAACCTGATTTTAGAAGTAACTCATATTTTGATACGCAGGTTGTCGATGAAAATGAATACCCTACCACCCCCTATCAAAATGATCGAATTTCGCGTAGCAACTAATATCAAGACTGTATGTGCTTATAAACTCAGTAAATTTCAAAATAAGTTATTCCAAAAATCGCTTGAAAAAGAAACAGTACTAGGGAATTTAATTTTAATTCTTAAATTAAATTTAAAGTTTTAGTTTCTGTTTTTGAAACATAGTAATTCCTGTGTAGCAATGGAACCATATTTTTAAACTAGTAAATTTATAATATTTATGCTCTTCAGAATTGTATTGAGCACTGTTTTTTAAAAATAGAAATAATTAATAAGAACACCGGGTTATAAATCTTACTGTTCTTTCTCATTATATATATATATATATATATATATAGCCGAGTTCGAATTCCAGTCGAATCCATTACATTCACTTACGTGCTAATACCCTTGGGAAAGGTGTGAATCCTCTTATTCTCCCTCCAGCTATGGGTAAAATAGCAGGACAGACTGGGTTCTATAGCCTTGGATGGCAACTAGTCTAGGAGAAGGACAACGCTGAATTAAAAAACCTGCGGAGGGTCGTTTGGGAACCTTGTGGCATCTGGTGCACCAGGTCTCTGTATTCGTTCAAAAAGTGTGGATGGTCCTGCACGAAGCCTTCACCACTATAATCAAATCTCATGTGCCGGTGTCGGGCTGTCGGTTTCCTGTAAACTGATCTGTTTGACCCTCATACGTCGAATCTCGACGGGAGAGTCGATTATATATATATATATATATATATATATATATATATATATATATATATATATATATGTGCAAATTTGACAATTTTACCTTTCAGGTTTGATTATCTTCAGATGATCTCCAGTTGAGATTAACTGGCATATCTTAGTATCTATTTAAATTTAGTTCATGTATGTTGGGCAGGCGTTTGTATGAAAATAAATGACGCCTTAAAAAATTGCCATCCAAAATGAGGAAGACGACTTGTCTTGAACATTAACATCAGAAATATTGGCGTTTCACTCCTGAACACTGACCGTTTATTTATTTAGTAAATAAGGAAATTAAGTAACAATTAGGCATTGTTCTGATTAGCCCATTCATAGCTAACCCAGCTTAAATAGATTATCTCATGACCCAGCATTTCCTGCTTTGATCCTTACCTGCAAGTGGACCTAGTAACGAACGAATTGTCTGTCATTCACATTCTTTCTATGTCGCTATAATATTGCATATGCTCTATAGAAGTAAAGGTAGACCCATGAAGATATATGCATTTTCGATGATTTGTAATGCAAAAGAATGAGGATAGGAGTAGGGAGACCTAAAAATAAAGCAATAATGAATGAAAGTGATGGTTTTGTATGGAAGCCTCCTTTCCCGCCAACTACCGATGAGTAGCAAGTAATTTCGTCCGCCATCTCAGAAAACATGTCATAAAAAAGTATTGACTATGATTTCTGTTCTCGCAACGACTCGCCATAAATATCGCCATATGTCAAGATAAGCGCGTTGAAAAAAAAACAAAAAACAAAGCAATCTCTCTCTATGTATCTGATCGAGTCCGTTTTTCTCTCTATTTAACTCTACGTTAATATCTATGTTAATATTTATTCTTCTAAGTCTGTCAGTTCATATCTATCTATCTATCTATCTATCTATCTATCTATCTTTGTCCATTTCTAAGTTTTTTCTTATCTATCTATCTATCTATCTATCTTTGTTCATTTTAAAAATTTTTCTTATCTATTTATCTATCTATATTTGTTCATTTTTAAATTTTTTCTTATCTATCTATCTATATCTCATGACCAACGTAAACTCTTCCTTTATCTATCTATCTATCTATCTATCTCATGGCCAACGAAAACTCTTCCTTTATCTATCTATCTATCTATCTATCTATCTATCTATCTATCTATCTATCTGTTCGTATAGGTTACGTTTCTATATGACCATCGTAAACTCTTCCTCTCCCTTTTTCTATCTATCTATCTATCTATCTATCTATCTATCTATCTATCAATTTGATTTATGTTTCTATCTCTTTGCCAATTTCAGTGCAGTGGGGACAAAGAATACATTACCATTTTTATTTCACTTTTGCCTTTATACTGTTCACATTCGTAATATATTCCTTTCCGAACATATTTCACTTTCACATGAAAAGTCATTTTTAATGAAACAACTGCACTTCTGAAACGGTGGCGTTGCGAGCCTTCCGCAGCGACAACGACGGCCACACAATCGCCGGCTGACGCGCATGCTTTTGCGCATGCAATTTACGTTTTACTCGCGCGCGCTTTATGTCTTTCTGGGCTCAAGGTTTCTCTGTTTTCTTCTGTTACATTTGTATTTTAAGCCTCGACTTTATTACCATAAAACTATATTATCATTTATTGCATCGAGCAACGCGTCGTTGAATCGAGGATTATTTGCATATTTTTGCATATTTGAGAGTCATTAAAACTGAGTTAAAACAATCGAGAACACATTAGAATTCACTGTTAATTCATCATCTTTTCTGAAGTTATTAGGTTGGTGCAAAAATAATGACGTAAGAATGTCGTTTTGACGTTAAAAACGACATTATTACGTCATTATTTTTGCACCAACCTAATATTTTTTGCCAGATCATCGATAAAGACTTTTCATTTCATAATTTCTTTTATCGGTTTCACCCCAAACAACTCAGTAAAGCCACTAAGACACAAGGAGGTTCCTGGGCGTGGAAGAATTAGGAACAGAAACATTATTAATCAGCGGGAAGACAAAAGAGTAATCAGGAGGACAATAAATAGCGATTGATAATTGCACTTAAATTTCTGGAGATTAAAGTTGGCTGGAAAGCATAGAACTGGAAGGGAGTGCGCAAGTGCGGAAGTGTCAGAAAAGGAACTGTCAGTGTAGAATTTGCGGCTACATCTAGCCAGCTCAACTGTAAATTAATGAGACCTCACCGCCAGTCTAGTACTGCGCTTAAATTCAAAACATCTAGGTACCATAGCGAAGAGCTCATCCAAATAATTACCATGAAAATAATAATAGAAAAGACACAGGAAGGCAACCTTACGGTGGTGGGAAAGTGATTGAAGCCGAGCAACCAGATCAAGACCGATAATATCGCTGATTCTTCTTTTATCAAGGAGCTAAAAGTAAATAGCAGGGATACTGAACCATAAATGGCAGCAATATTCTAAGCATGATGAGTGGTAGAATTATCGATATGTAAGATAGATTCTGGAGAGAAAAATTGTCTCGCACGGCACATTGAACTAGCATTCTTATCAGCTGACCTAACAATGGATTTAATATAGTCTTTCCACTTCGTGTCAGCCGAAGACGTTAGCCCGAGAAGGCACAACGAGTCACTATCCTGGAGGTTAGTATCAATTATGCTGATGGAAGGCATAGCGAGGTCTCTCAGATGATTAATGGAGAGAAGTTTACTTTTAGTGGCGTCGACATTAACAAGCCATCTTTTCTCACAGTTAACAGGGGACTTGAGGTCGTTCTGGACGTCGGCTGCCATTTTGACTTAACGAAATTTATTTGTTTTAATACCGAGAATCAAGCGATCAAATGACGGCCTGCGCCTGAATATGTGCCTGTGTTGTAGGTTCCTAAGACGAGATTGTGGCGCATTGAAAGGAAAGATCTGCTTGCTGTTTTTACAATAAAGTTCACCCATTACAAGACGCGAGAGCCAATCAAGATAGACGGTTACTGTTAAAATGGTTTTGATGAAGGTGTTGAGTGATGGATGGAAGAAGAGATGACAGGAAAGGTAAATTATGAGGGTAAAGAGGATAGATAATTCTCTACTTAGAGAATGTTAAGATTGTAGCGTTCGGGGAAGCATCCCCGTAGGTGCATGTTTCTCAAAGTAGCAGTTCTTGGGAAAGGATGTCTGAGTTGTAGGTTCTTCTTACATTTGAAATACCGAAGAAATGAGGTTGATTCTCCCATGTGGAAGTAGCAATGCGTGTCCTAGCTTCACTCGGTACACGATGTGCTGTAACCTAGGGAAGGGTACTAAATAATCAAACGAAGGTTGGTGATGAACGATAATACTTAGGACAAGAACAACACATATAAGATTCGCCAGCGGCGCGTAGAAGTAGTCAACTGCCAGAAGTGAGTAAAGTGACTTCCACAATGAATCTCCAACTGCAGGATATCTGCCAACCGCCCTACGCGCCATATGTATCACAAGGCTGAATTTAATGTGGAGTATCCGAGCCCGTAGGCTTGGTAAAAAATTTCCCGTATAAAACGGGGTCGGGTAGCTGTTTCCCGAGACGAGACTCTGCCCTTCGACATAGCCTCATTTGGGGATCCTCTCAGCCCGGAGGCAGAGAGTTTGACCAGCACAGCTGGAGATAAATCTCCAACAGCAGACCAACATACAGTATTTACTACTGTATTTATTATTGTCCGTAGGCATGCCACAACAATAAGAAAGCCACTCAAGATAGAGTGTTACTGTTAAAATGGTTATGATGAATTGCGTGATATGAATGAAAGAAGAGGTGATAGGAAGTAGAGTTTATAAGGATAAAGAGGATAGATAACGATTGACCCATTATTTGAAGAAGTTAAGTCTGTTTGAGGAAGCATCCCCGTTGGAGCCTGTTGCTCAAATGTGGTAGTTCTTTGGAAAATATGAGTTGTATATTCTTCTTACATACAGAGGAAATGAGGTTGATCCTACTCTGTGAAGGTGGCAATGGGTTTCCCAGGAGAGAAAAAAGTCTGGACTGATGGAACTAAAAATGGGGCTCATCGGAATATTTGCCGTGTAAAAAGTAATCGAGTAGCGATAACCTTGCAATGTTGCGTCTGTGGCAAAGAGGCTGCATAGAATGTTTCTTCCCCATGTTTGGTCTAATCTGACTCTTGTGAAGCAGAAGGAGTCGGTTATTTTCTAGAGCGATAGATTGAACCAAAACTTTATCAGGCGTCTTCCGCAATGGATCGTACATATAAGTTCCAGATGAGGTCTGGATGTGGAAACTCCAAAAGTGCTTACAAAATAAATTAGAAATTACGTACGTTCCTAATAGATTATATTATTTAGAAGCGTGTATGTAACACCCTTTATTCTTGTGTGCATATAAACCATTCTTATGCGTATAAATGTCTGCATGGATGTGAGAGCCCATTTATAGATGTATAAAAGTTCTGAATATATTCCATGTATGGTTAGAATTCTGATCTCAGAGACCATTCTTTTCAATTCGATTCCCATTTGGCGTCTTACACATGAAGCCTTGTGCGCAAATTCAGTTGTGTTTTTGCAATCAGGAAAAGGTAGTAACATACAGTGAGAAGAAAGGACTATTTCACAATCCCGAATATGCAGCATATGTTCAATAGAATTAATGGCAATGACTGACTTGTTCACGAGGATGTTTAAACAACCATTTTGGATTTCCTGTTTGTTGTTCATGTATGTTTTGTCATGCTCTTTATCGTCTGATAACTACTAGTAAATATCGAAGAACATACCATATGTAGAAATACTATATGTTTTTCTCCAAACTCACCAAATCATTTGAGCGGCTACTGTCTCAAATTGATCCCCACATTTAGCTTAAAATCCGTCATGTTTTATAGTGGGCTGAAGGCGGTTCAAGCAAAATTGTTAGCGACGTTGACCAGATTGAGCTATTTTTGAAATGTCGACGCTACTAAATTTAAAATTTTCTCTACTTAATACCATTGTTCACCCAGTACAAGGTCTAAGAGCCGTTCAATCTAGAAGGTTTCTGAATGAGGCTGTCGGAAAGGCGTGCAAAGAAGGAATAGGTGGTGTATATTATATGGGATACATAACGGTTGGTCCTAGTCTTGAAGTGGTTAAGACTGTAGCGATGGGGGAAGCGTCCTTTCGGACGTTTATTCCCCAACGTAACAGTTTTAGGGAAGAAGCTGTCTGAGTGGAACTTCTTCCTTACCAATGGTATACGAAGGGGGTGAGGACGAGTCGAGTCAGTGTACATGCTATGATGGGCTTTAGCTGTGAATGTATGTACTAACGGAACTAAGGAATGTCACTCGTCTAAACATTTACAATTGAAATAGTGATAGGCTTGCATCTGGCAAAGAGGACTGCATGATGGAAAATGATTCATTACCCACAAGACCGCGTAAAGGCTTTTGAACTCTGTTAAGGGTAGAAAGAGAGAATTTGACAGATATAGAAGCAATACTTCATTTTTCGTTTGATCTGGCTATTTGCATAAACGGAAACATTTTTTTAAGAAATTATTTCATTGGATTACTTTTTTGAAATAACGTGGGCTAAATTGAGCCACGCATGAGAATGAAGTCACTCTAAATTTCTATAGAAGTGGTCTTTCAAAGGTAACCCTATTCACTACTTGGATTCCAATTTGCTTTTAAAAATTAGAACTGATGAATTTGTCCCCAAATCTTTGTCTTTATCCCTAATTTCCCGGTCTGTCTGTGTTGCATATCGGAAAAATTAAGGTCTTCCTTTTGGTTACTCTGTCAAAATAACGATACAGAACTGGAATTATTGCGCTGAATATATCACACGGAATTTCTATTCGATTTTCCTCGTCTTATCGTGAATCTTTTGGGCGGCCCAGATAGACGTCCCTACAGAGCAGTGATTTCCTTTCTTTCATTCTTCTATGTGCTATTTCCCTTTAGCATGTGGGTGATTATGACTCTCCACAACTTCCTATCTTTTTATACGTTTAGTATATCTTTATACTACATATCTCAGTCCCTATTCTGCCGCCCATTTGCACAATCTCCACTTTGGTTTCAATATGTTCTGAGAGTGTCAAACTCTCCCAAACACTCTTTTATCATTATGTGCCCTAGAAATTTCAACTACCTCTTACTGATTCTATGTATAAGCCTCCTGTTTGTTTTCATTTTCTTTAAAACTTCCTTGTTACGTAGATATTCTCAGCATCCTTTTGTAGATCCACATTTCTGTTGTCTAAAAGTTCCTTTTGCATCTGTGATGGGATGGGCCAGCATTCAGGAGGACCGATATTACATAACAGTTCAGTACACTTTTCTTTATTTTTATGGTTTAGAAATGCAAATGGAATTCCAAATTTCGATGCATTTCGAGTTTAGCACATGCTACGATCGATTTAACCAACAATATGTCTGTTTCGATATCTGAAAATTCTCACAAACACTGGGCAGGATAGC